TTATGCATTGAAGTGGCATGTGCCGTTTTGACAAAGAATAATTCTGAACCGATAGTGTTTGGGGAAATTTGGTAAGCTAAATCAGGTTTTAGAAAACTTCTGCCGCTACCTGTGCCAATAATAAAGTTTGCATTAATTTCTGGAATGTGTAGGACAGGTAATTTGTTCATTGAAAGGTTATTGATTAATATTACGTTTTCTGGTGCGAAATCTGGGGTTTCTGAAAATGTTCGCAATTATCGATATTTGATTGATTAAAATCATGTGAGTCTGAAATTGGTTGGTTTTCATAGAAATCCTCATTGAGATGGTATTTATAGTGGGTATTTGGGTTTTCTGAGTAGTCTTGTTCATTTTGTACATTTGTGGTCTTGGAAAATTTCTGAAATTGTTATTTGTTTGTGGATTTGAAAATTGATTGAAATTAGGTCTGAAAGGGTTTGGATTTGCACGGAAAAACATGGGTTGATTATTTTGAAAGCTTGGTCTGAAAATGGGTAATGTATGTCTCTGTGTATGTCTAAAGTTTGGAGAAAATACATTTGGTTTGGGTAATTGATCTCGAATGTTAATTACCGTTTTATTTTCATTATTGACTCGATTTTTGTAATAAATAAAATTTTCTTCCTTTTGGGTTTTTAAGTCTTACCACTAGTTGCATGTGATAGCTTAAGCCACTAGTGAATGTTCTGAGAATAAGGTTTTGATATTCTGATAATTTTAATAGTTTGATCTCCCGAGTTTCATTACTCATATTGAGTTTTGAAAATAGGAGACTGCGTACGTCTTGTAAACGCAAGCCAAATTCTTGGGCTGTTTCGTTTTTCGAGGGTTTGAGGATGATTATATCTTGCACTACACAATCAATTGATCTTTGGTCTGCAAATGTGTCAATGATAGCTTGTTTAACAAGTTCCCATGATTGAAGTTCAACACGAGAAGCTATTAAATCAGCGCCTCTGCCTACTAATTTGCAAAGGATAGTGTCAAAAGACAAGCATTTATGTGTGCGTCCTCATTAGTTCTATCTCGATGGTTATTGAGAAAATTGTCGCAAGCATTTATAAATCTGTTGATTTGCTTAGCGTGGCCGTTAAATAGGGGAATGTTATCTGCTTGATATTTGATCAGAGCAAAATTAGGGTGTGCCATTGTTTTTATTTTTATTTTTGTTTTTTTCTCTTCTTAAATTAGAGCTTAAAATTATGTTGAGCGAAAGAATGTATTTGCTTCTTGTGCAAACAAAAGCGGAAAATGCGCAATATTTCAATTGTTCAAAAAAAAATGGAAATTGGAAAATTGAACTTACAGTGATAGAAGTACCAATGTTGTTTTCATTTCTTTGATTTCTTTCTTGTTTCTTCCTTAGTTGCTAGGGTCCAATAGGAAGGGCGATGCTTGTCTCTTC